CTGGAGAGGTGCCCTTGAGCAAGGTAACCTAACCCCAAAAAACTGCTCATGCCACAAACTGCCACTAACGAGGCGAGCCCATCACTCCACCATCTCTCTCCCTGTTTGTATGTCCACATCCCCTGCATGAGTGTGCCTTTCGGCCTGTGTGTGTGTATAAATAATATAAATAGAGTGTATTATGAATTTCCCCAACTAGGGATTAATACAGTATATTAAAAAAAGAACAATAGTATAGTATAGTAATAGTAGTCGTAGTATCATTAGTGATATTCCTGAGGCAGACTTTAAGTGGTGTCATCAGAAGATGTTAGAAGATATTATTTCATGCAGGAAAGGGTTTTATTGATTATATCATGTAATTTCTCATATATTGGTAATATTGTGCTAAAAATGTTTTGTTTGCTTTATTTTGGTCGCATTTTAATCTTAATTTCAGCCACAACTGAAAATCTACGGATTCATTTGGGGTAAAATGACTTTTTTAAGAGAGTTGTTAGATTTTGTGCAAATATCGGGCATAAACAGGGTTCCCATGTGCTCAGGAAAATCTGGAAAATTAGAGACTAGTTTTCAAGTCATAGAAACACCTGGAAATTGATTAAAATGACCAAATATCCAGGAAATAATCTGTGTTTTTTGGGAAACTTTAATTGTATTTGAGCCCAGATTGCCTACGTAAACCTGGGTGCTTATTTGGTTTGAAACTCGGCTCTTTGTAGGCTGAGCTTTGATACTTAAAAGCGGGTTTAGCAGACGTGGAGTGGATCAGACTTGAAGTTTGTGTCTTGTGATTTTGGTGTCGAGCCTTCGATGTTAGAGTTTGAGGAGTGAAATGTGTCCATACGTTTGTGAGCGACTACTGGAAAACTATTTCTTAGAAAGTGGAACCATGATAAAGAATGAGAAATAATAGCACTGATAGTGATCATTGTTTCTCTCTCTTTGTCCCAGCAGTGAGGTGGGTGACAGTGACTCTGAGGACCCCCAAGTCTACGAGTCCATGTGTAACATCCAGGCCCAGGCTGGTTCCTCTGAGACAGCACAGGCTTCTGACCTGGGTAACATTCACAGCTAATTATCTCTGTCCTCACTGCCCGTTGTATTCCTGCAGCAGTATAACGCTGCTGCTGAGCCCCCTAATGTGGTATTTGTTTTTCAGACCACCCTCAACATTCAGCTGTGGTTTCCCAGGACATGAAGGAGGACACCAGTGAGGAGGATGTTTACGAGTACGACTGTCCCAGACCAATCGTCCCTCCCGCCCCCACCAGAAGAGCCCTGTCAGATATCGGTGGTCCCTCAGCTGCCTTCAGCACTCTCAGCATTGACAGCGCAGTAGAAGCCAGTATGTATCTCTGCTAGGCTCCTAAATCATGGTTTGTTTGTTTTTACCTGGTGGCTCTCAGGGCGGATAGTAAACATGCATAAAACCTGTCCAGACCCCCATTAAATATAATGTGTGAAGTCCAGATCTTATTTCCAGCAGACTGGTAGTGGTAGACTGGGTGGATTTTTCTGTGAGAACAATTCATGCTTCTCTAAAAGCTTCTAGATTTAAATTGGAATGTATGTATGTTTTCATTCCTGACATTTCACCAGGGTTTACAGTATAGTACAGTATTTGGGTCCTTCATGCACGGGACATCCTGCACAAACCTGCCATTTTAAAGTAGCCAAGCAACTACCAACAGCAACCACAATTTCTTTTTTGTTATTCTCTGACCATGATTTTTTAAAATGGCAGCCGTGGTTAAACCCCGAAGTGCAGACGCAGCAAGAACACCGTCCTTTAAATATACTCTGTTATAAGAGTAGCAGCTCCTTTTTGTGTGCACATTGAGTTTGTGGTGAAGCGAGAGAGAGAGAGAGCAGGGAAGTTGTCAATCTGGTAGTAAATGTAAAGTTTGTTAGCTTCTCAAGAACAAAGTATAGTTAGAGCTGACGGAGAGAGAAGTACCTGGTGTTTGCCCCTCTGCGTTCCCTCTGGTGCTTGAAGCCAACGTTTCCCACTTTTACTGACTGTCTTCTAACCCGTGTGTTTCCAGGTATGTTTGCAGCAGGCGGCGAACCTGAGCGTCCCCCTAAACCCCTCCCACGCCGAGCCAACTCCGACCGGCGGCCTCGGCCTGCAAACCGTGAATTTCCCACTCCATTGCCAGACCTCCCTGGTCCCTCCTCTGCCTCCTCGTCGCCTCCACCACCTCCTCCACCGGCGGCGGCAGGCCCTGGAAGCCTGGCCCTGAACGGGGAGATCGAATGCCTGATGTCCCAAGGCTACTCCATCCAGGACATCCAGAAAGCCCTGATGATTGCCCAGAACAACCTGGAGACGGCCAAGAACATCCTGCGCGAGTTCGTCTCCATCCCCTCCACGGCACACATCGCCACATAGTCACTCCGGGCAACGCCCCCCCTCCCACTCCACAACCACCATCCTCTCCGTCTTCTCTCCGTCTTGTCTCCGTCTCCACTCTGTGCCATTATCATGGATAGCATTTACCAAGCACTTTTCCTGCAGAGCCACAAGTACTTGCCAAAAGGCTTTACTCTGAGGAGCGATGCTGCGTTCACGTCGTATCGGAAGATGGCGGCTACATCGTCTGCAACTTGTAGTCACTGAAATATCATCCAAAGTCAAACCCAACAGGTATTACTTGTTTTTCTAAGTGGAGTTTTAGCGTGAAAATATATTATTTTGATTATGTTGGACTACGCCGATGCCAAGTCGTTGATATTGAAGCCTCAAAATCGCTTGTTTACTCTCAAGTCCAGAAGGACGCAACCATCGGCAGTCCGGTACGACCTGAACGCAGCATAAGCGGAGAACCGAAGCCTTTAAATGTGAGCTCTCTGTAGCCAAGCTTTGACCCTGTCGTACTTTTGCTGAGGTCCACTCGTGCCGTGGCAGTGCCGCCCCCCCCCCAGCCAGAGAACATTTCTCTCATTAAGCTA